GTTGTGCCTTTGCGCTACCCCCCTCCCCGCCAAGCGACTCGAGTTTGATTCCCGCTCACGGCCACCAGCGTGACGATTATCTGAACCGGTCCGAGGTCGACTCAGCCTCAGATGAGTACCTTGTGCGGTGTGTAAGCATCGCCACGAGGAAGACAAAGGCGGCCGGGCGTGGTGCTGGCCACCCACCCCCTCGTGTGCCGTGCCTGGCCTTTTTAGGTGCTCGCTAACAGCACTTGCCCCAAGTTTGTTAAGGCTGTACGGGGGGTCTTTGTCTTTGTGGGTAAGTGAGTGAGTGGATGAGTGGGAGAGTGATTGGATGAGTGAGTGGGTGAGTACGTGAGTGAGTAGGTGAGTAGGTGAGTGAGTAGGTGAGTAAGTAAGTGAGTGGGTGTGCTGCCGTGTCCTGAAAATGTGGTGGAACAGAGCGGGATATCTCAACATGGGTCGAGGAATCAACGCGTGGTGGAGTCCACAGAAGCCACGGTAGTCGCAGTGTAAGAGCGATAAGGAGGCCACTGATCACCGCGAGCGAGTGGAGTGACTCAGTGGGGTCTGGGTCATCAATCACCCTGGCCCCGTGAGTGTGCACACGCATGTGAGGACACGCGCGCGTGTGAGTGCGCGTACACGCACGCACGTGGGGTGAGAATGCGCGCGCGTGTGCCCGTGGCTCCAGTGAGGCTGCGTTCTACAGATTCCTGTCTCCCGGCACGCGGCACGTGCTGTGTGCACTGGCACACACACAGACACACACACACAGACACACATACACTGACACACACGCACACAGACACACACACACAACACACAGACACACACGCACACAGACACACACGCACTGACACATATACACACACTGACACATATACAATAACAACAACAACCGCCATTCGCCACTAAATGGCGGTGACGTCACCACGACGCTTGTGCCAGGCCATGTGCACCTTGAGGCCACGTGAAGTGTCGAACGCCCAGGTGCCACGGGTCGACTGACTGAGATGACTGAGATGACTGGCCGATGCACCACCTTTGCCCCCTACTGTACCAACTTGCTGTGCTTTAGCCACCCGGCGCTCCGCTCGTTATTGTGAGCGTCGCTCCTCCGCCCTCCGTTGTTGTTATAGGGCGACTGCCTCCAACTGCCCAGTAGCGTCTTTCACGAGCCTCCTCCACTGAGGCCGATCTTGACACCGCTGGTACCAGTCATCGGCAAGTCCACTCAGCTCCACGTCCTCCTGTACCACATCACTCCATCTCTTCTCTAGTCCGTGCCGCGCCCGTTTAGCCCCCTCGATCCGGCCGAACAAAAGCTGTTTAGGCATGCGGTGGCTGGGCATGCGGGCTACATGACACAGTCAACGCAGCCTTGCCTGCCGGAGGAGCTCACCGATGGGACTTTGTCCAGATCTTGCAAGGATTTGTGAGCTCCTCACACAATCCAGCCTGGTTAAACCCAGGATGGATCGTAGGTAGGCCAGCCTAAATGTTTCCAACCAGCGAAGATGCTCCATTAGGGGGGTCCACGTTTCGCAAGCGTAGAGAAGGGAGGGAATGTCCGTGGCCGAGAAGACCTGAAGCTTCGTGCGGAGCGACAGACCAGGTAGCTTCCACACAGCGTTACGCAACCGATGAAAAGATATTGCCGCTCGACTGATTCGGAGTGAGACCTCTGCTGTTAAACTGGAGCCGGGTCATAAGCACACTGCCCAGGTATGGGAAACTCTCCACTCTCTCCACAACTTCCCCATCACCGATTGGGAGTTGTGGGGGTGGAGTGTCCGATGGTACAAAATACCCAGGCAGGTGCTTAGTTTTGGTGGGGCTGATGGTAAGGCCCCATCTCTTAGTGGCACGCTCCAGTCTTAGCAGCAGCGTCTCCAACTCCTCTTTTGAATGAGCAGCTATTACCAAATCATCGGCATACATAACGTGGTTGACCAATAGGGAGCCATCCCTTGATTGCACCCGGGCGTCGATCAGCCTCCCATTATATCTGTACCAAATGGAAATTCCCCCGGTACAGCTATTGAAGGCTTCACGAACTACGCAGTCGAAATATATGTTAAATAATGTGGGAGCCAGAGGACATCCCTGTCGCACCCCAAGGTGTACAGGGAAAGGCTCCGACTCCCGGCCACGTAGTTTTACCCGGGCCCGCTCACCATCATGAAGGTCCTTAATGATCGTGAGCAGAGGGTCAGGGACTCCGAAAGCACGAAGAACAACCCAGAGGCCAGGCCTATTGATGGTATCATAGGCCTTGACCAGGTCAATAAAGCAGAGATGTAGGTCTTGTGGGAATTTTCTACACCTCTGCTGTAGCAGACAGACAGAAAATATGGCATCTGTGCAGGACTGCCCTTTCCTGAAACCGCATTGGGGTTCCGCAAGCCTCTCCTCAGCGTGGCTAGCAAGGCGATGTTGAATAATCCTTGCCAGGACCTTTCCCGGCACACTGAGGAGTGAGATGCCCCTGTAGTTGTTACAGTTTGTGCGGTCCTCCTTCTTAAAGAGGGGGACCACCAGGGCATCCTTCCAATCCTGCGGTACCCGTCCAGCGGTCCAGACTGTTGTTATGATGTCATATAGGGCAGTCTGTGCACAAACGCCACCCTCCCTCAGCATTTCGCTTGGGAGATCATCTCTGCCCGGTGCCTTTCCTGGCCTCAGACTCTGGATCGCCTTTAGTACTTACTCAACAGATGGCACCTCAGCCAGCCACTCACAGCCGGTGACTTCTTCAAATATTTGGGGCACCGCAGCCTCAGCAAGGTCATCCCCACGTTGTCCCATGATGTTTCCCATGTGGAGGCATTTCCCCTCCCCCAGGACTTCACAAAAATGCTCAGCAAATCTGCAAACCTGTTCCTGGGGGTTGGAGATTGGATCACCGCTCTTTCCCCTAATGATGGTAATAGGTGTGGCACTGCAGGTTACTTTTTTGTTGGAGTGAAATTTGTGATCGCAGGCCATTGAGGCAGACTCCATCTCCTCAGCAACCCGTGACCACTCATCCTTGCAGCGCCTCACGGCTCTCCAAACCTCCGAGCGAAGGCTGCGGTAAGCCTCCTAATTCTCCGACGTGGGATGCTGTAGTCGATGAGAGTGGGCCTGTCGCTTTTTGTCAGCCAGCCTGAACACCTCCTCTGTCACTCTGGGGATGTCTGGACCGTGTACCCAAAGCAGCCATTGCTGCTGCATGGAGTCCTAAATCTCGCCCATTTCCCCTCGACATCTGGAGGAGTGGAGGACGATGCCAACGATGATGAAATTCTCGCTTGAAACTTTCATCGGCCCGCATCCGCTGTTCCATCACAATGTAGTCCAGCAGATGTTCTTGCTTAGACCCGGCATGCATTCATGATGTTGTGTGGATGCGCCGATGCTGGAACAGCATCGGCGCATCCACACAACTTCACCGCCACGCTACCACACCTCCTTCATTTTTTTGTTCAGAAGAAGAGCCATTCCCTTTTGTTTGGCAATCTCCTGCCCCGATTAGAGGACTGTCCACCCCTCATGGTGGCAAGAGCCAGAGCCAGTCTACCAGACCTCCTGAATACCACAGAGATCCAGGCCATCCAGTTCCCGACAGAGGAGTGGCAGCCTCTCCTCCGCAGTGAGCGTTCGAACATTCCACGTGGCCACCCGAAGTGTTTTTTTGTTGTTTCTGGAGGAGCCCCGAGGGTGAAGATTCAGTCTCCTGGCTCCGCCAAATGGGGTTTGGCCAGTCCCCCCCCGGGGCCTACAGCACAAGCTTATTAATGAAATTTTTCAGTCATGGTTTGGTGGTAATTAATTAAAGGTGGAGGGGTTACCAGCCCCTCGCACCCGTCCGGAGCCCCCATTTGGCCGCTGTGGTGGTTACAAACGCCATGAGGGGAATGGCCAATCTAAATTGGCCCTCCCCCCATAGCACGGCCCTCCCCCCATAGCACTACCCACCACAGCGTTGCTATCCGGCATCAACGAGGAGGTAGGGGGGGTTGTTTTTGCCGGACTCTCACACACACACAGACTCACACACACACACGCAGACACAGACCCTCACACACAGACACAGACCCACAAACAAACAAAGATCCCCCCCGTATAGCCTTAACAGACTGTAAGGGCAAGTGCTGTTCGCGAGCACCTATGAAGGCCAGCACGGTACACGAGGGGGTGGGTGGCCAGCACCACGCCCGACCGCCTTTGTCTCCCTAGCGGCGATGTTTACACACCGCACTAGGTACTCATTTGAGGCTGAGTCGACCTAGGGGAGGCCCAGGACCGGTTCAGATAATCGTCACTGGTGTTTGCCGTGAGCGGGAATCGAACCCGGGTCGCCAGGTTCATAGTGCAGCGCGCTAACCGCTACACTACCGCTCCCCTACACCCATATACACACACACGGACGCTCACACACACAGACGCTCACACACAGACTCACACACACACAGGCTCACACACACACAGACTCACACACACACACAGACTCACACACACACAGACTCACACACAGACACAGACTCACACACACAGACTCACACACACACAGACGCTCACACACACAGACGCTCACACACACACCCAGAGACTCACACACACACACACAGACTCACACACACACAGACTCACACACACAGACTCACACACACACAGACTCACACACACACACACAGACTCACACACACACAGACTCACACACACACAGACTCACACACACACAGACTCACACACACAGACTCACACACACACAGACTCACACACACACACAGACTCACACACACACAGACTCACACACAGACTCACACACACACAGGCTGGCTGTAGACGTGACCGCACCTCGCAGGAATGAGCGCAGGGGGGGCGGGCGGCCTCACGGCGGAGTGCGGTGGTGATGATGTTGATGATGATGTTGATGATGATGGTGGTGATGATGATGGTGGTGGTTGTTATGTTGATGATGGTGATGATGATGGTTGTGGTGGTGATGATGGTGATGATGGTGGCGGTGATGTTGATGATGGTGTTGGTTGTTATGTTGATGATGATGGTTGTGATGGTGATGGAGTTTTCGTTGGTGTGTGTGAGCAGTGGCTAGCGCACTGCGCTACGAACCGGTCATTCTCGAGTTCAATTCCCGCTCAGGGCCAACAACGTGAGCGGGAACATCTGAACCGCTTATGGGCCGTCCCCTAGGCCGACTCAGCCTCAAATGAGTCCCTGGTGCGGCACACGGGTGTACTCAGCAACAGCGGCAGGGAGACAAAGGCGGACACCACCCAACCGTGCGCCCTGCCGACCTTCATAGAGTAGCCGCTCGCTAACAGCACTTGCCCGCCCCCTCTCCCCAACGCAGCCCGTGCAAGGCTACACGGGGGATCTTTGTCTTTGTGTGTAGGTGTTGCCTGCCGACGTTAATTAGTTTTCCAGACTCGTCACCGCGTGTCTGTCCTCGGAGAGGTCGGATTTCTGCTGCTCCTCCTCCCTCTCTGAACTCCAAACTCCAAACACCAAACTCCAAACACCAAACTGCAAACACCAAACTCCAAACACCAAACTCCAAACTCCAAACACCAAACTCCAAACTCCAAACTCCAAACACCAAACTCCAAACACCAAACTCCAAACACCAAACACCAAACTCCAAACACCAAACTCGAAACTCCAAACACCAAACTCCAAACACCAAACTCCAAACTCCAAACACCAAACACCAAACTCCAAACACCAAACTGCAAACACCAAAATCCAAACACCAAACTCCAAACACCAAACACCAAACTCCAAACACCAAACTGCAAACACCAAACACCAAACTCCAAACACCAAACACCAAACGCCAAACACCAAACACCAAACTCCAAACACCAAACACCAAACTCCAAACACCAAACTGCAAACACCAAACTCCAAACACCAAACTGCAAACACCAAACTCCAAACACCAAACACCAAACACCAAACTCCAAACACCAAACTCCAAACACCAAACTCCAAACTCCAAACACCAAACACCAAACTCCAAACACCAAACTCCAAACTCCAAACTCCAAACTCCAAACTCCAAACACCAAACACCAAACTCCAAACACCAAACTCCAAACCAACTCCAACACCAACTCCAAACACCAAACTCCAAACCCAAACACCAAACACCAAACTCCAAACACCAAACTCCAAACACCAAACACCAAACTCCAAACACCAAACACCAAAACCACTCCAAACCCAACACCAAACTCCAAACCACACCAACTCAAACACCAACCCAAACTCCAAACACCAAACACCAAACTCCAAACTCCAAACACCAAACTCCAAACACCAAACTCCAAACTCCAAACACCAAACACCAAACTCCAAACACCAAAACTCCAAACACAAACACCAAACTCCAAACACCAAACTCCAAACACCAAACTCCAAACACCAACAACCAAACTCCAAACACCAAACTCCAAACACCAAACACCAAACTCCAAACACCAAACACCAAACTCCAAACACCAAACTCCAAACACCAAACTCCAAACACCAAACACCAAACTCCCAAACACCAAACACCAAACTCCAAACACCAAACTCCAAACACCAAACTCCAACACCAAACTCCAAACCACCAAACACCAAACTCCAAACACCAAACTCCAAACTCCAAACACCAAACACCAAACTGCAAACACCAAACTCCAAACACCAAACTCCAAACTCCAAACACCAAACACCAAACTCCAAACACCAAACTCCAAACACCAAACTCCAAACCCAAACACCAAACTCCAACACCAAACACCAAACTCCAAACACCAAACTCCAAACCAACTCCAAACACCAAACACCAAACCTCCAAACACCAAACACCAAACTCCAAACACCAAACTCCAAACACCAAACTGCAAACACCAAACTCCAAACACCAAACTGCAAACACCAAACTGCAAACACCAAACTCCAAACACCAAACTGCAAACACCAAACTCCAAACACCAAACTCCAAACACCAAACTCCAAACACCAAACTGCAAACACCAAACTGCAAACACCAAACTCCAAACACCAAACTGCAAACACCAAACTGCAAACACCAAACACCAAACTCCAAACACCAAACTCCAAACACCAAACTCCAACTCCAAACACCAAACAACCAAACTCCAAACACCAAACTCCAAACACCAAACTCCAAACTCCAACACCAAACTCCAAACACCAAACTGCAAACACCAAACTGCAAACCCAAACTCCAAACACCAAACTGCAAAACACCAAACTCCAAACACCAAACTCCAAACACCAAACTCCAAACACCAAACTGCAAACACCAAACTGCAAACACCAAACTCCAAACACCAAACTGCAAACACCAAACTCCAAACACCAAACTCCAAACACCAAACTCCAAACACCAAACTGCAAACACCAAACTGCAAACACCAACTGCAAACTCCAAACACCAAACACCAAACTCCAAACTGCAAACACCAAACTGCAAACTCCAAACACCAAACTCCAAACACCAAACTGCAAACACCAAACTCCAAACACCAAACTCCAAACTCCAAACACCAAACACCAAACTCCAAACACCAAACTCCAAACACCAAACTCCAAACACCAAACACCAAACTCCAAACACCAAACACCAAACTCCAAACACCAAACTGCAAACACCAAACTCCAAACACCAAACTCCAAACACCAAACACCAAACTCCAAACTCCAAACACCAAACACCAAACACCAAACTCCAAACACCAAACTCCAAACACCAAACTCCAAACAAGCCGGTCCAGTGAGGGAGCTCCCCCTGCCCAGGTCGACACAGCCTCATTCACTCACACACTCACACACAGACTCACACTCACTCACACACACAGACTCACTCACACACTCACAGACACAGACTCACACACACACTCACACACACAGACTCACACTCACTCACACACACAGACTCACACTCACACACACAGACTCACTCTCACTCAAAAAGACTCGCTCTGACTCACACACAGACACTCACTCACACACACAGACTCACTCTCACACATACCCTCACTCACAGACTCACTGTCACTCACACAGACAGACTCACACTCACTCACACACTCACACACACAGACTCACTCACACACAGTCTCACTCACACACAGACTCACTCACACACCCTCACTCACACACAGACTCCCTCACACACACACATACTCACACAGACTCACTCACACACAGACTCACTCTTAGTCACACACATACTCACACAGACTCACTCACACACAGACTCACTCTTAGTCACACACACAATCTCACTCACACACAGACTCACTCACGCACACATACTCACACACACAGACTCACTCACACACACATACTCACTCATACACATACTCACTCACACAGACTGACTCTCACTCACACACAGATTCACTCACACACACTCACACACAGACTCACTCACACACAGACTCCCTCAAACACAAATACTCACACAGACTCACTCACACACACTCACACACTCTCACTCACACACAGACTCACTCACACACAGACTCTCTCACACACACAAATACTCACACAGACTCACTCACACACACATATTCACTCACACTCACACACACATATTCACTCACACTCACACAGACTCACTCACACACATACTCACTCACACACACTCACACATACTTACACACACAGACTCACTCACACACATACTCACACAAAGATCCCCCGTATAGCCTTAACAGACTGTAGGGGCAAGTGCTGTTAGCGAGCACCTATGAAGGCCGGAACGGTACACGAGGGGGTGGGTGGCCAGCACCACGCCCGACCGCCTTTGTCTCCCCAGTGGCGATGTTTACACACCGCACCAGGTACTCATTTAAGGCTGAGTCGACCTAGGGGAGGCCCAGGACCGGTTCAGATAATCGTCACTGGTGTTAGCCGTGAGCGGGAATCGAACCCGGGTCGCCAGGTTCATAGCGCAGCGCGCTAACCGCTACACTACCGCTCCCCACAACACACACACATACTCACACACACATACTCACACACACAGACTCACTCACACACAGATTCACTCACACACACATACTCACTGACACAGACTCACTCACACACATATACACATACTCACACACACAGACTCACACAGACTCACTCACACACATACTCACTCACACGTACTCACTCACACAGACTGACTCTCACTCACACACAGACTCACTCACACTCACACACAGACTCCCTCACACACACACACTCACTCACACATACTCACACACACACAGACTCACACAGACTCACTCACACACACACTCACACGTACTCACTCACACAGACTGACTCTCACTCACACACAGGCTAACTCACACACAGACACTCTCACTCACACACAGACTCTCTCACACAGTCTCCCTCACTCACACATACATACTCACAGATTCACTCTCGCTCACAGTCTCAATCTCACACATACACTCACTCTCACACAAATAGACTCATTCACTCACACACAGACTCACTCTCTCTGTTTCACACAAATAGACTCACACACACACAGACTCACTCTCACTCATACACAGACTCACTCAAACACACAGACTCACTCTCACACACACTCACTCACAGACTCACTGTCACTCACACACAGTCTCACTCACAGACTCACTCACACATACTGACACACACTCACACTCACACACAGACTCCCTCACGCACACACACACATACTCACTCACACAGACTTACTCACACACAGACTCACTCACACACATACTCACTTATACACATACTCACTCACACAGACTTACTCTCACTCACACACAGACTCACTCACTCACACACACTCACTCACACACACTCACACACAGACTCACACACACAGACTCACTCACACACAGACTCCCTCACACACACACATGCTCACACATACTGACTCTCACTCAAACACAGGGTAACTCACACACAGACACTCTCACTCACACACAGACTCTCTCACACAGTCTCACTCACACACACATACATACT